ATGCGTAGAAGGTGAATCGCAGAATAACAACGAGAGCTTGAACGCTACAATTTGGCGCTTGGCACCGAAGTATCTTCACTGTGGCTTTAAGATTCTAGAAACAGTTATATTTTTGGTTATTTAATTTTTATTTATTTGTTTGTTTATTTAATGAAGAATGTTCAACAATTCCTTGAATTATCATATGTATATTATGAGCATCGTTGTAGAACTGTAATGTAACCGATACGAAGAGTTTCGAAATAAATAACAGAAATTCCACGCGAATCGAAGGCTTCCAGACGACTCGAATATCTGCTAAAGAAAAAAAAGAAACAGAAAACGATTTTTTTTCGAGGTTGCAGAAGGCATTCCATTGCATAATATATAGGCTTGGAATCGCTAATTAGGTTGAATCTTACGTAAGTAAGATACTAAAAATATTTAATTAAATCCCATACAGCACAAAATATTCTACATATCCTTAGGACATCTTGGGGAGATCTCGATGTCCTCAGAACATCCTTGGGACACCAAAATATCCTCGATGTCCTGAGGATATCCTGAGGATGTTTTGTGCTGTATGGGATTGTGCTCGAAACTTTAAACGCATTTTTCTCGAAACGACATTTTAGACAAACTAATAAACCGATCGACTTCAGCATGTAGCTACATATTCAAAATATATCTCTCTATCGTTGGAATTAGCGAAATTAAAATATATTAATTTTTTCATTTTATTTCTAACGTTAAACTGTCGATTTTTTAGGCAATTTTGTAAATGCAATTCTTACATGCCTTAAAATTATTGAAAAAATAATTTGTTTTTTATAATTCTAGTTCAACAATAACCGAACATCTGTAGATTAATAATCTTGTTTGTTTTTTTATTTCAGATCATTGGGTATCCAGATTTTATGGGAGCCGTAAGACGATGCGCGCTCGGAGACGTCGCGCGAATATTTTTATAACTATTACAATTTTTATTATTTTGACTTAAAAAAATTACTGGTTATAAATAAAATATGTATTATTATGTGTATGAAGTTTGAGATAAATCGTCCGTATAATTTTCGAGAAAAAAAATTCATTAGCCTTTTTTCTAGTCCTTGAAACGACAATGCCCCCTTAAGAGGAATAATTAGCTAAATTCTGTATCTTTGAATAAAAAGATATTTTCTTAGTTGCTTATTATTTATTGCAAAATGAACACTTGATACAGATACTAGCAGATGTACTTCATGAATAATAAATTATCGATGCAGCGTAGTAAAATAAGTAAATATATTAGTGCTCGTAATGCGCACAATCCAAGGGGCTATCTAATAAGATGTCTAAGGCAATTTATAAACACTTCAGTTTTTAGCACAAAATGACAGTTTTTCTTAATATACATTAATATATTTTAGTCCCTAATTAATGGAAGATGAACATTAAAGGACAACAATCAAAAAAATAACGCCACATAATGTATTTTTTAAAATAAAAAAACTTTTGCCTAAAACATTTTCTTCTATCTTAAAAAGAACAAAAAAAGGGATTTAAGTGGTTTATTTTATGTATCTCATCCTGTATAAATCATCATATGTCATGAAAAATATGCAGGAAATAAGAGGTTAGATGAAGATAATGAATCTACTATAAAAATTGATTGAAAGATGTTAGCGAGTTCTGCTCTCGAAGAATAAATTGCATTTTGAATTGTTGATTAAAATTAAAATTTTATAATTTATAATAGAATAATAAAATAGATAGAATCTTAATTATTAAGCCTTTAGTATCTGATCCACGCTCGATTTTAATGAAATTTTACAAGTACGTAGTACTTACTAAATGTAGTTGAAGGGAGCGCACACTGCCAATCGGATACGAGGATATTTCCTGACATAGACCTGATCGGACACAGTGCCAATCAGACACAATAAGAAATGGACACACGTTGGTTGCCTTTAAATAGACGCTCACGGAGGCGGAGCGACGAGAAGCGTCGTTTTAGAGGTGTCTGCACACTGAGAATACACACGAAGAATAGTGCAGCGAAGAGAAGCGCAGCTTCTTATATCTGACTTCTGTCATCATAATTATCTCGCAAGAAAATGCTAATGTGATAATAGCCGAAAGTGTCCGAAGCAGTGTTCCGATTAGGGACCGGTTTGTTTGCGCATGTGCGGCCATACGGTGTCAATGAAGTGTCTCGTACATATAAAAAAGAGACCGTTACCCAGCTTCATTTAAAGTAATAAAAAATTTTTTAATGTATTAAAAAATAAAATATATATACATATATATATATATATATATATATATGTACAAAAATACATTATATATATATAATTTAATTATTTTATAAATTTTAATTATAATAATAAAAAACCTTACCTATTTCATTTTCCTAACCTCATCCTGTCAAAAGTCCCGCGTAAAGTCCTGCACACGACGTGTGTCGGCACTGCATTTCCATCGCCGCGCAAGCGCAAAGCCACATATACGCTAAGCAACCGGTCCCTAATCGGAACACTGGTCCGAAGGATTATAAAGGTCGAATATTTTGACTCTTCGCTTCGTCTACCTACCGCCCATTGGGGCAAGGCGAAGAGAAGCGTCCAGACGAATTTCACCTGGCTGCTGGCTAGATTTCTCTCGCGACGATTCTTTGCTTCGCTCGCTTTGCTTCGCCTCAATGGGCGGACTTCCATTTGATTACATGTAAAGTTTCCCTGTGGACAAAATTCTCTTCTCTTCGCTTCGCCACAGTGGGCGCCTACTTTTTGACTTTATATTTCTGGACTGCTAACTACTTCCACTTTTCCCATTGAAACAATGTAAATGTTGCAATCCAAGATTTCAGCGCTGCCACGTTCTCTAAAGCAAGAAAAATTCAAATTGATTTAAAATTAATTCAAACAAGATAACAAATTTTATAATAAAAAGAAAGAAAATAGAAATAAAAAAATATATATGTATATATATTTTTATTGTTCTTTAAATACAGGGTGTCCCAGACTTACGTATCATCCGTTAATGGCAGATTCCTGAGGTTATTTGGAGACGAAAATCTTAATACCAAAATGTCGAGGCTACTATAGTATTTGAATGGAAAAGGCTTAAAGTTTACCAATCAGCTTGTCAGAATTTCGCGCGCTCAGGGACATCGCATCTCGAAAGGACCCCACAACACTTTATTTAATACGTTTTATTTACTTCACTCAGCTTTTATTCACTTTATTCACTTTATTTACATTGTTCGCAATACTGACGAATTTACTAACGATAATAATTTCTAAATTGTATTAAAACACGATGCGCGTCGAACTGTCAAAGCAGTCGTGCCATTGACAAATGACGTTTCTCATGTCATGAGAGAAAATCAATACTATCGGTACGAAGTATGATTTGCTACATAAAGTGTTGTGCAAGGGTCCTTTCGAGATGCGATGTCCCTGAACGCGCGAAATTCTGACAAGCTGATTGGTAAACTTTAAGCCTTTCCCATTCAAATACTATAGTAGCCTCGACATTTTGGTATTAAGATTTTCGTCTCCAAATGACCTCAGAAATCTGTTATTAACGGGTGATACGGTAAGTCTGGGACACCCTGTATATATATACAAATATAGAAATTTTATTAAAATTTTATTGTCCTGCGGAACTTAATTATAAATATTCATTTTCTTAAAGAAACTTAATTTTCTATAAAGAATACATTATTAATTATTTTTATTGCAAATTTAACTAAGAATAATTTGTTATAAAAAATAAAAAAATAATTTTGTCAGTAATATATATTTTTATACACAATGTTAAAGTTTTATTTTAAAAAATTTAGTATTATTT